CCAAGTGCTGGCCATAATCAGCCACAGGCCCCTTACAAAACCAGAGCTGTCACCACTTGAGTTCCCCAGACTCCGGTGCCGACGCGTCGCCTCGTCCATTCCAGACCCAAACTCCGACTGCACTTTTTCTCATGAAATGTGACGCAGGCGTCGCGGCCTGGTGACAAAAATGTCGCGCCCAAAGGCGATGGCAAAAAATAAAACAGAAAAAATTAATACAAGCCTAGGATTATATTTTCTTACAACGAAGATGGAATACCTTTGCAACGACATGAGATATACATATGTATATGATTTATATGGCCCCTTTAAAGGTTAGACCACATTCATCAATACTACGCAGGTTCAAGTTCTTGATGAAATATGTTTTATATTTTTAGACAAATATTAATTCCCTGGAGGGTAAAAATGTTAACTTTTGGAACTAGTTTATGCAAGCTATAAATAAATTCTTTCTATTTAGTTTCTTTTGCTTAAAGTGACAAACTTGCAGATTAAATGGAGCTCTTTAAAGTGTTGCAAACTTTGCCTTTAGTCTACAATAATTTAAATTTAGTCAGAGAATACTTGGAATTATAGCTGTAAATTCAATTTGTATGAAAAGGCAACAGAAAAAGGCAAAATATGTATTTCTCCTTTTTTAGCCACTCGACAGCGACGCCTCTTCTGGGCCTGTCCAACTCAACTGTCAGGCGTCGACGTTGAGGTTTCTGTACGAGAGTGTGTGTGTGTGTGTTTATGCCTGTGTGTGTGTGTGTGTGGCCCGCTCTTGACGCGGTTCAAGTGCCTGCAGCGCGGCCCCAAAAAGGAAACAACGGAAGCAACTCGATGGGTGGGCTAACTGAGATTTGGGGGCGGAAATCTCTATCCAATTGTGTGCATTCCATATTGAGAGTTGGACAATGCGCGAGCTTGTTAATTATGATAACCGGGCATTGGAGCTGGCCCCAACACAATGGCCAACATGTTGTAAATGCAGAACAGTTGCTAATTAGCTGGCCACTAAAAGCCTGCTCCTAATTTGCAAGCTCTTAAGATATCCAACAGCGAGTCGGACACGAGCTGCTTCATTAGCGGCCATTAGCGAAAACTAAATTTCCGCCTTGCTCAGGAAGATGAAACACATGCCAAAAACGAAACAAAACTAACTAAAATGAGCAATACAAACGGAAACCCATTGGAACGCCGCAGGTGATTTCTGCTCCATCACAAAAAAAAAAAAAACAACAAAAGGCAAGCCAAGCAGAGCAAAATAAAACACGCAGCAATATAATTAAGAGCCTCAAGTGTATTTAAATAAAAAGTAAGGGGGAAAAAACAAAAACTTTAAGACGCGTCATAAAGGAATTGGGCTTGGGTCTGAAATGAGTCGATTGGCAGGCAGCTGTTGCTCTGGGTAGGCTTTTGTTTTAAGTTAACGCAAAAAAGCCCCATGGAGCCACAAAAATAAAAACAAGACAGAAAAAAAGGAAGCGAATCAGCGAATTTCGGCAAGCTGCAAAATTTTTGATGCGCTGCACAAGAAATTAAGGGGCATATTAAAAGATGAGAATACAAGAAAATACACTTTAAAGTAAATATAAAATTTAAATCGGATAAGCAAAAAACCTCAACGAATGGAAAATTAGACTCAAAATTAGGTTTGGCTAAAGAACGACAACGGTTTTTTATCATCATGCAGAATAAATAAATTTATAAATTATTAAAACCATTAAGTAACGCAAGAAACTGATTGCAAAACTCATTTATAATCTCTTTTAGTATCTGGTAAAAATAACATATTTTTTAAATACCCTGCACATGCTAAATCAACTGAACATCTACAACTTAATACAAACGTGTCCACATAATGAGAATATCCCACTATTTGCAGCGCCCCAGATTATTTTGATGGGCCGCCAGTCTTAGCGACTTTTGCTGTAAATATCGAAAAAATGATGGCACAACGTTTTACGCAGCGGGAGCTGTGGACTGGAAACTGGCAACTGGCAACGAGGCTCCGCTGTGTGGCACACCTACCCCGAGTGTAGAGTTCCCCTGCCAATATATGTATATGCATGCATATGAAGATATGCCAGCTACGCACACGCGAATAACTCGCATTCACATTGTCCATATAGCCCCACAGGCCCGCACCCCGTAGGCCGTAGTCATGGCCGCGTGCGTTGCGTGTGATGTGCGTGAAATGCAACTAAATCATGCCGCGAAATATTTCAGGGATTTAAGAAACGCATACAAGAGAAATGAGGCAAGAGCTGAAAACTGAAGGGCATGCATTGAGAATACAAGAACGCGCGCCCCGCCAGGCGGCAGATGGCCAGGAACGGACCGTGGACGGACCACAAGTTGCTGCTTGTTGTTGTTGATAACTTAAATGCCACATTTAGATACAAAATTTCAGTAAAGGCGGCGCATAAATCAAGCGGCAAGATCACCAGAGGCTGGCCCCAGACTCGGCGGAAGCAGGGGGCGTTGCTGGAGACGAAGAACGAGAAGACGAAGACGAAGTCGAGCCGCCGGTCGGGGAACCCATGGAAACTGGAAATGGTAATGCAACTGCGTCTGCAACTGCAACACGATCGCCAGTCAGCGGAGAGGGGGGAGGCACAGAAACGGAAGTGAGACGCAGGGCAGACTCTTTATAAGAAAGAAGTGCTATTCAAATGTGTCCCGTGCGTTTAATTATTATCCATTTTTTTTTTGTTTTTATATTTTTTTTATAAGCAGCTCCCCCAAGAGAAATGGAGCAAAGGGGTGCTGGTAGCCGCTTAGTCAGAGCTCTTTATCATCATTCGTCGCCCTCGTCGACGTCATTTGACACTTTTCTGACATTTTTATCATTTAAGTCACATTCAGTTTTTGTTTATTCTCGATCAGACAAACAAAGAACCAATTTTAGCTGCCTTATGACAGCTTTTCAGGGCCGTATCTCCTCCTCCTCCTACCCTAACATATAAAGATATTTTATTGTTGCCCAATTCAGTTTGTATTTTGTATTTGGTATCTATGCTTTAATGAAAGTGTTGAGTTTTAGTTTTCGTTGCGCTTTTTAATTGTTTGTTTATAGTCAACGCATTCGGGGCGCGCTCGTTAAGAGCCCCATGATAAATTGCCAGACGTGGAATGAAAAGCCATTCAAAATACACCATTAAAAATTTGGTATAAAATCCTCCGGCTGTGCACTACTCAAATTGATTTAAGTTGCCAGCGTTGTTGAAACACGAACATCTATAAAAACTTACAGTTACCTTAAACAACTCTATTAAAACGTGCACTGAGAATGAGAATGGGAATGGGAATGGGAATGCCCCCGACAGTACCAATGGCAAACATTTCAAAACATTTCCTCAATGAGTTCTCTTTTATGAGCTGAGGGGTATTTAAATAAAGGAACAGTACCAAACAGATATTCACAAATAAAATGTAAGTACTGACTAAAGTGCACAGTGGAAAAAAGGGGAGGCACAGAGAACAGGCAAGGAAAAATTAAGCGATTCAATTGATTTGATTTCTCGATTGAAATATAGCTACGTATTCAATATATTTTGGGGTATTTAGTTGAATTAATGCCATAGAAAACGGCAGGTACAAACCATTTCCATATGCATTTCTTAGCTGCTTTCAATAAGAGTTCGCAAGGTAGATAGAGAAAGTAAAGGAAGGCTTACAGAGAATAAGAAGTAGCTTCACGCCAGAGATAAAATTGTGAAGCATTAGCTATATATATTAATTTAACTAAGTATACTTTGCTGGACAATGCACTAGATTTATTTCTGTACTCAAGTTCAACCACTAATGATATAGAGTAACTCCTGAAGATAACCACCAACATTTTAGAAATGGTTCCAAAGATAGATAGAAAAACTAGAGTAGGGACTGTAGAGAAAAGGAACCAGTTCCAGACCAAAATATAATTGTAAATCATTGACTGTATGTATTTATTTACATAAGTGATTTAAGTTCTACAATACACTAAATTGTTTTCTATACTCAAATTCAAAGATGAACGCCTCTGGAGAAAAATAATTAGCTCCAGGCTAAAGATTAATTCTGAAGCATTGACTATATAATTTTTAATTTATTGATGTGTTTGGCGACCTTTCCATATTTAAAATATTTGTTGGCTGGCTCGGGCTAATTTAACTAAGTTTAGTTTGTTCTGCAATGCAATAAATTGATTTCTTTGCTTAAGTTCAACCATGACAAAGCTTAAACTGTGAAGCATTGACTACACATATAATTTTAGTCGAGTGCGATAATATAATTTCTGTACTCAAGTTGAACCTCCAACGTTTTCAAAAATAGTTGATAATGCAGATAGAGAAAATAATGTAGCCAAAACTTAAATTGACTATATATATTAACTAAGCTGTGTGTGCTTAGTTCTACAATGTACTAAATTGATTTCTGTGCTCAAGTTCTCAGAAGTTCAACCACCAGCGCAAACTGCAGCAAATTATGCGTACTTATAAATCAAATAGCCTAACAACCTGGCCACTATAATTATGGGAAATTTATAAAAAATTACATAATATTTACAAGATGTTATCGAGTAAGTTAAGTATAGGCCAGACAGACAGCCAGATAGAGTCAGACAGCTGCGGCCGGAGTTAGCCGGAGTTAATTTGTCTATTAAGCGCCGTTGGGTCGAACCTTTCTCTGAGAGCGTCTCCGAGAGTGGAAAACGGCAGCCAAATGCAGTCGGACAAAAATTTTTAAATGAGTCTAATCAGTCAGCCAAAAGGGTAAGCCTATAATTTGGTAATTACGAGGAGTTGCTGGCCAAAAAAAAAAAGAGAGAAAAGTAGAGGAAGGAACATTGGGTGGACGAAAAATGAAGGCAATAAGTCAAAAAACGGTTGCATGCAATGCATAATTTTTGGTATTTATATGATCTTCAAGCATATTCCCAAGCAGCCAGCCTGCAGGTATAATTAGCAGTTCCAAATTAGCTGCCTGCTGTTCAGCCTGTTCCGACTTTGGTGGTTGCTTGCGCTTACCTGAGGTTGACGCTCAGCCGAGCTGCTCCGCCAAACGGTAGCCGGCCAGTTTCCGTTCCAGTTATGCGAGTGAGAGATGCCGCCTTTATAGAGACATCAACAGCTGTAGCACTTTTGACATTTTGATTTGTGGTTTTCCGAACCGCGCATGTTGCTGAAGATGAACATGTTTATGACTGCGCCATGTGGTTGACTGAATCTAAAACGTGACCAGCGAAAAAATAAAAGCCATTACATAAAATCCAATAGCTAAAGAAATAATTAAAAATTGTTTAGAAATATACGAGAAACCACAGAAATTATTTAGCAAATGACAGCAGCAGTTGAAACCACAAAAATACCTTCCGTTTTTTATATATATTTAAACAGCATGAAGCAATGCCAAAGTTCAAAGAACCGCCCAAGGGGCGAACTTGACCAACAGAACATGTCCTCCTTTATGACCTATTTTGGTTCTTTTTTGGGAACATTTTTTTTTTTTTTTTTTTTTAAATAGCTCACGCGCCTACGCTTTGTCGGGGCACACGCTCACGCACTCGGACGCTTTATCTAAAAAAATATTTACTTGTCAGACCAAATTTGTAAGCCATTTTCAAAATACAAAAGCCCCTGCCCCTGCCCCTCCTCTATCTGTCCACCCCACGAGGAGCACTCCCACATATGCTGTTGTCGTCTATGTCAAATTACTGTTTAACTTTTATATGGTGTTTTGTCGTATTTTGTCGCAAAGCTATTTATATATATATAAATACATTTCGATTTTCTTTTTTCCTTTTTTTTTCGTAGCTTTTGCAGCTTATTTCTTTGGCATTTTTCGGCTGTTCGGCATGTGACGCAAATGTGACATAAAATTTTAGGGTAGAACATCCCTCATACTCCTATCACAATATGGCGCTTCTCTTGCCAAAGTTGTTGTTGTCGTTGATGTCGTTGTTGTTGTTGTTGCTGCATGTTATGTTGCGTAATTGCTGCAATCTGTGGGCCTCTCATTGGAGTTGGCCTGTGTGGCATATAGCAAAGCTATTGGGGCCTTGGCACATGTTGTCGCAACAGCTTTTAAATTGTTATTGATTGGCAAAGCAGAACCGAACAGCTCTGGGAGTGTGTGACATGTTTTGGGCTTTATAAGTGCTTGAAACGAAAGCGAAAACAAACAAATTATTATGTACATTCAAAGCATACCAGAAAATTGGGCTACCAAAATAAGTATGCATGTATCCAAGAAAGGGCGAGCAATGCTATGAACATACTCTTAAAGGAAAACTCGGTGTACAGCATAAATTAGCTATGGAATTTGATATGCAGCTAGTGGAACGAACTTTCGAAGGTAACTCAGGATTTTCTCGGCATTTCAAGCGTCCAAGAGAAAAGTGTTTATAGCTTATAGGAACAGGAGCTGACAACAGCCAGGCATATATAAATTTTAAGCACAGCTCTTAAAAAGGCTTTTAAGGGCCACGCCGAAACTCGAACCTGAGATATGTCAAAGGACAACCTACTAACCGAAAAACCTAGTACCCAAAGAAAGGACCTGAGTAAAAAATGTTTTTGTATTATTGTAACTGAAATTTCTGACAGCAAGATAACTCAAAATTATTTCGGGATACACTCGAACTTGCAAGCGAAAATTGTTCATGTCCAAACTAGCTCCAATATTTGTTTTTAGTGTGCAAATTTTTATGCATTAAAATTTTGCTGTAAAAGCCAAATTATTGAAACTGCGAAACTATATTTCTCTCTGGCAAACATAAAACCTTAACGATTATTAAACATTAAATGGCAATTTTCGCTATCGGCCAGCTGCAGTGCATATTACACATGTCATATGCATGCGTCTGATCAGAAGAAAAATGAACTGAGCCCAGGAGAGCGAAGAGGCGCCCAAAGCGCCTGGCCAGTGCCACTGCAATGCACTTTTCTTATCTAATTGCATTTAAAGTCAATAAATTAATAAATAGCAAGCAATAAATTTAGTAAAAACAAGCCATTAATAACACTTTGGTTGACACGACAACAGCAAAGCCAGCGAGACTCGCTGGTCATGTCGGTGGCTGCGGCTGGCCTGGCCTGGCCTGGGCTGGTTTGGTCAGGTCGTTTCGGGTCGGGTCAGATCTGGTCAGGTCAGCCAGGCGGAGCCAGTGAGTCGGAGCCAATAGGTCGGCGACATGTGCGGCAAGGGGCCAGCGCTGCCAAGTTGAAAAATTGAGCGCGTTGTGTTTTTGTCAACAGCGGAACTAGCGGAAATTCTAAGAAAAATGCACAAATTGTTTAATGCCGAGGCCAAGCAGCAATTCGTTGCAGCTCGTTGATTTTTCACATGCATCCATCAAAAACTTTGAATTAGCCCCCTTGTTGTGGCTAGATTGTTGTGCCTAGGTGTGGGCGATTTGTACTTTGGTCTGACAATGCGGCGCAATTAAATTTTAAAACTATTTAAATCAGCGCGCGTTAACAATTGAAGTTTTTATTGGAAATTAAATTTGATGAGCCTGCAGCCCGCATGGCAAGGCATCAATCCTCGGCACACGAATGCCGGAACCCAACGCGTGCCACTTCCCATTTTAAAACCAAACCCAAAATGCCAACTGTTTCGAATAATTTGTTTAATTGAAAAATCGTAAAATGCCATTTTATGTATTTTTTTTTCTCCAAATGCTGCGCAATTGACAATTACGGATATAACTGAAATTTATGTTGCAATCATGTTAAGCCCTTTATTATTGTACTTTAACAAAGAAAAGTGCTTTGACTTCTTATATTGGTGTCATTCGAAAGGAAAATTCTATTTATATATACACACGGCGTGCATGAGTAACAAATGGCTGCTTGATAAGTAAAATTCAAATAAAAAAAAATATAAACGAAATGTATATATACAATTCAAATGTGCTGCCTGATCAAAGTCTGGCTCTATGTTCATGGCCTCACACAGCCTCTGCACAGCCAATTAAATCAGCTGAGTTTCCTCCTGACTTCAGTTAGGACTCGCAGCCAACGTAGCACGTATCACATTTTACTAGCCAGAGTCAGGGGATCAGCTACCAGCAAAGTGCGTAGGCAATCAGCCTCCGCAGTGTAGGATAACTCGGAAGACCACCGGCAAACCACAAAAATGCTCGCTACTAAAATATGTGTGTGTGTGTGTAAAAATGGCAGAAAAAGTCGGAAAAGTGGTGAAATGATGTAGGATACGTGTGTCTATCTAGCTTGCTGACTGACATGCCGACTGTCCAACTGACTGACTGACTGACTGACTGTCTGTGTGTCAGACGAACGACCGACGAAGTGCGTTGCAGAGACAACAAATAGCTTTTGGACACGCAATGGGAAATTTATGTTAGATAATGCTCGGGTGCCTCGTGCTATTGTGTGTGTGTGTGTGTACTGCCGATCCAGAGATAAAGTTTCAAATTAGTTTTGTGGCTGGTAATTAAATTTAATTTTTTTATTAGGCCAACCACACAGAACAATGGGCATTAAAGCGAAATGGCTTAAATAACTGCTGCCAGTTTAAAGTTGAGGCTAAAAGCAGTTACGAACTTTTTTGTACAATTAGAATAAGCTAAACTATAGTCCCAGGTAAATAAATTGACTGGGTGTCTAAGTCATTTAGGCGACTGCACACAAGAATCCCATTTCTCAAGTGAAACTGAAAACTTAAGATTTTAGTACTTCATTGAATATCATAGAAATAATATATAATTATGTTCTCAAATACTTATATAAGAAAAAATTACAAATAGGACAATTTTCGAAGGCGTTTTTTTTTTTTTGTATATACCAATAATTGAGATGCTCAATTTATCCTAATGCAAAATCAACATTTTCTCAACTTTTGCTAATATTAAGATTATTCTGCATGTTGGCCACATTTCCAATTTGACTTATTTGCATACCCTAAAAGCTTTCGGCTGTAGTTGGCAGCAAGGAGGCGCCTCAATTTGATTACCATTTGATTCGTGAACTTGCAGCTCGGCTGTCAGTTTGGTTGACTTGATGACTCGCATCGATTCCTTGATAGATTGATTGATGACTGAACGATGTGCAGGAACTGGAACTGCCAACTGCCAGGCAGGCGTAAGTAAACTTTAAGCACAGCTCTTAAAGTGGGTTTTAAGGGCCACGCTGAAACTCGAACCTGAGATAAGCCAGAGGACAACCTGTTAACCCAGAAACCTCGCAACCAAGGAGCAGCCCTAAGTAAAAAGTTCTTTTGTATTATTGTAACTGAAATTTCTGACAGCAACACGAAAAACTTCCAGCCAGGTAAACACGGAAAACAAACGAAGCGGATAAAACAATATCGAGGAAAAAAAGCCAAAATAAAAGATGCAGCTGGGGCTGCTGGAGCAGCAGCAGCAGCAAAAAAATAAATAAAAGGAACCTAATAAAGTAGCAAACAAATTGGAGCACATACATATCCGAGAGACAGAAAATAATCCAAAGGCAGGCCAGGCTACCCGGGCAACTTATGATAAAGTGCGAGAAATTCCTGAGGTTGTCTCCTCGAGGAGGGCGCCGCAGGTAATTGAAATAAGCGTGGAAATTTGTAAGGCTCAAAAGTTGAAGGGAAAAGCTTTTTGCCTTGTCTTATTTTATATTATTTTTTTTCCTCTGAAATGTATGCGTGTCTATTAATTATGATTTTGGGTCTGCTGAGGAGCCCAGCTGAGCGCCCACCTGAGTTGGAGGCCTGGATAATAAATTCAATTTAAATGAAGCGTAAAATTCAATCAGGTCGTGGTCGAGGTTCAGGTCGAGATTGGAGTTTGAGTTCAAGTTTGAGGCTGAGGTTGTGGCTACTGCGGCTGCGTCTGTGGCTTCTTAGGTGGTAAATTGTTTTGGTCGAGCCAAGAGCCCTCGACAAATTCTGCGAAATTAAGGGCAACGCAACGCAGCAATAAAGAAGTCAATTTATATAAATTTTCCACTCGCCAGGTCTCAAGACTCGGCATCGCACTGCGGTCTGTAGCTGAAATGCAATTTACGAACTGTGCCCGGCTATTGTTTTCCTTTTCTTTCAGTCATTGTGTGCGTCTTTGTATGTTTCAAGTGGCTTTTCTTTTCGTTTTCCCTAACATTTTCTTTTGTGTAATATAATTTCAAATTAGGTAGCATATGTTTTGCGGTCGAGAGATGCCCGCAACCGGGACAGTCCGTATTCAATCAAAATGATGTTGTTTTAATTTCAAAACCTAT